AGGGGAGGCTTTAGGAAAACGGTTACTTCAGTATACTGCAGGTAAGAGTGCAAAATCCCAAAGAAAAGCAGTTTAGCAATATTTATCAAAATTTCAAAAGCATTTATCTTTTGACCCAGTAATCACAGTTCTGGAAATTAATAATACAAAAATACCTGCTGACATATAAAATGACAACTCTACAAAGTTACTCCATGCACCACTGTTTTTAACAGCAAAAGACTAGAAACAATCAAATAGTCAGTCTATCTACTATAGACTAGTTAAATAAACTGGTACAGCCACACAATGGAAAACTGTTTTCCTATGCTGTAGAATGAGCATGCTGCCTACACACTGATTTGTGAGGATTTCCAGGATATACTGGCAAGTGGAGAAGAAAATGTAGCATAGCAGAAATTAGAGTAAGAAGGAGGAATAAAAAAAAATATACTGAGGAATGAGTTGGATAGGTACAGGGAAGAAAGATTCTTTTCAATGTATGCCTTTACATATTTCTTAATTGTTTAAATAAATGATTCTAGTAACTTTTTTTAGCAACAGAAAGAGTCTGTCAACTTGTATATATAACATGTTTTTAAAAAATCGTACAAATTAATGAGAAAACAAGCACCCAATAGAAAAAATGGGGAGAACATAAGGAAACATTACACAGAAGAAAACAGACCCTCAATTTCTTTTAAGTAATCAGAGTAATGCAGTTTAAAATCACAATAATATATCACTTTACTTCCACCAGACCGAAAGAAATTAAAAAGTTGGACAATGCCATATGTGGAGAGAATGGGGAGCAAAGAGGTTTCATTCACAATCGGTGGAGTATAAGTCAGAACCACCATCTGGGAAAAGTTAGATATTATCTAATGAAATTGAACATGTACATACCCTCCCAATGGATCCACCAATTCCACTACTAATATGCCCGAGCAAAAGTACTGTATATATGCACTTGGAGATGAACAAGAACGTTTATGGCAGCACTAATTATAATAGCTGAACATTGAAAATAACCAATATATTCATAAAGAATAACATGGATAAATATGTAATGTATTCTTGCAGTAAACCATTGTATTTCGGTGAAAATGAATGATTTACAGCGGTGGTTCTCAAAGTGGTGATGATGCTAATATACGTAATTTTTTGATATTATATAATGAAATGTGTCATCTTTTGGGAGATCTACATAATTCAGTGAACTAACATCTACATGACCAATGCATGGGTGAAAGATCCCTTCAAAACGCAAGATAATCCAACGAGTTTTAATGTCACAGAGTTTGAGAAGTTCATTGATATGGTTTCAAATTCTACACTGCAGCTAACTTTTAAGAAACCATTAGGTTTTGAACAGTATTGAAGAAAAATATAACTATTTTAAAAGGTTATTAAAATATTCCTCCCTTTTCTAAATACACAGCTAAGTGAGGCCAGATTTTCTTCATATACTTCAACCAAAACAATATATTGCAACAGATTGAATGCAGAAGCAGATACGAGGCCCTAGTCATTAAAGATATTTGCAAAAATGTAAAACAATGCCACTCTTGTCACTAATTTCTTTTGTTTTGGAAAATAGTTATTTTTCATTAAAAATATTATTTATGTTAAGATGTAATAGGTTTATTATTATTATTATTGGTAGAGGTACCAATACCAAAATATATTTACTGGCATATACAAATATACCAATAGATGCCATATCTAACATATTTAAAATTTTTTCAGTTTTAATATCTAATATGATATAATCCACGTAAACAAAAGATCTTTGGGATCCTCAATAGTTGTTTCTTTTTTTGTGAGGAAGATTAGCCCTGAGCTAATATCCGATGGCAGTCCTCCTCTTTTTGCTGAGGAAGATTGGCCCTGGGCTAACATCTGTGCCCATCTTCCTCTACTTTATAAGGGATGCCACCACAGCATGGCTTGATAAATGGTGCGTGGGTCTGCGCCTGGGATCCGAACCTGCAAATCCAGGGCCACCAAAGTGGAACGCGAGAACTTAACTGCTACACCACTGGGCCGGCACCCAGCTCAATGTTTTTAAAAGTGTAAAGGAGGGCCGGCCCTGTGGCTTGGTGGTTAAGTGCGCGCGCTGCAATGCTGGTGGCCCGGGTTCGGATCCCGGGTGCGCATTGAGGCACCACTTCTCCGTCCATCCTGAGGCCGAGTCCCACATATAGCAACTAGAAGGATGTGCAGCTATGACATACAACTATCTACTGGGGCTTTGGGGGGAAAAAATAAAATAAATAAAATCTTTAAAAGTGTAAAGGAGTCCTGAGACCAAAGTTTCTGTTACTAGACTCATCGCGGTGATCATTTCGTAACGCACATAGATGTCGAATCACTATGTTGTACACCTGAAACTAACATAATATTGTATGTCAATTATACTTCAACAACAACAAAAAAGTTTCTGAATTGCTAAATTATAAGCACATGCTTCTACACAGATGAATCTCAGAAACATAATGTTTAAAAAAAGTTAATTCACAGGACATACAGTATGATTCTATTTAAATAAAGTTCAAAACAGGTGAAAATAAACAATACACTGGTTAAGGATACAAATATAGGTGATAAAACTGTAAAGAAAGGCAAGGGAATAATTAACACAAAATTCAAGATGACCATGGTGCTGGGGGTGGGGATACTCTGCTTCTGGGGAGAGGCACACACCAAAGGCTTCTAAGGTATTTGCAATGTTCTATTAAGCTGGGTACACAGATACAAATTTTTTTTTCACAGTACATATAAATGGTATATTTCACAATAAAAATATTAATAGAAGAAACAAAGAGACATACCTATTCTCCTAGAAGGAAAAACTCAAAAGAATGTCTCTTCTCAAATTAATCTATAAATTCAATGCAATCACAAACAATATCCCAACAAGATTTTCTACAGCACTTGAAAAGATGGTTCTAAATTCCATCTGGAAGAAAAATGCAAAAGAAGAGCCCAAAGCTTTTTTCAAAAGAAAGTACCAAAATACATTATAAAGCTACAATAATTAAAACAGTGTGGTAATAGCTAACGGGATCAAAGAAGGGAGTTCAGAACCCAGTTAAAAAAAAAACAAAAAAAAAAACAAGCAAAGGATATGACCCGGCCAAAAACATTTAACTTTTTTATTACCCAAGGAAGGTAAAAATTAAAATGAAATGTTATTTTCAATTATTAGAAAATTAGTAAAATATTAAAGAAATACTGTTACCATCCAGTGCTGGCTAGCAGGGAAATAAAAACACACCTTTGAGAGAGTGAATATAAAAGGGTACAATCACTTGAGGGCCATTTAACAGCATTATTATGCAGCATTCTCATAAGGAATCGATTCTAGAAATACTATCATGAGCACATGAAGCATTGTTTAATAATAGCAAAAAAGATAATCACACAGCATTGTTAGTTACAGGGGAAAACTTGAAAATAACTTAAATGTCCATCAGAAGAGGAATGAAAGACTCATTTGATAAATAGATGCTATATCTATTTAATTATACTAAATAGATATCATACTGCATTTATTTAACAAACACTATGTCTCAGGCAAGTTTTTAGGCACTTGGTGGATTTTTATTTAAGCAAGTATGTTTGGATTACAGGAGATGCTCATGATACAGCTCTTTTTAAAGAGAACTGGTTACATTTGGGCAAATGTCCTGAAAACACAAGATTTCAAATACCATTCTTTGTTTTTCTTAAGTCAGTTGTGACAGACACTTTGTCACTTTTTACTTTTCTCCAGTCTGGGTTAGTTATTTACTGACGTACTGAACATATGATATAGAGGTATCCAATTCTTTAAGGTAGTTTTCGACAGAAGAGTATTCTTATACTATTAAGGAATCTCTGCTTTGTTATGAACCTGCTGACTAGACTTACTACCAATCTCAGACCCTATAATATTAAACATCACTCACACAGCCCATTCATCTGCTAATGTTCTTTCAAGGGAACACCGTGGGCCCTTAGATCACTAACGCTACTACAGTAACACCATACACTTGTACAACACTTACATTTAGAATATATTTTCATCAACTTCATCATCCTAACTTCACCTTACAGGGAGAACAAAGAAGGCTAAGACAGGTGTTATGTAAATTTTTGGATTTCAAACAGGTGGTGATTAAATGAAACCTGAGGATTTTCAAAGTTATCTCCCTCAAATTTTGAGGTTAATCTGCCAGGTTCTCCCACACAACGCTGCCTGGTGCCACCTTCAGACAAACTGCTGGCTCCCATGGACCGACCTATTACCACCCTCCTTACGCACTAGTGAGGTTTCCTGCTAAATGACCCTCCCAATGCACAGACCTCTTCCTTTTACACTTACTTAAAAAAGGAAAGGTCACGCACTGCCATGAAGTCCCCCCAGAAAGAAACTTGAGGTGCAGATTCACGAAGAACCCTTAGACAATTATTCACTAGCCAGTCCAAACCAAATGGGCAAGACTTCAACTAAGTATTTCTTACAACGTCCACGAAGATGAAGCTGTCCTCTGACGGGCAACTCAAAGGCAATGCCTAAGCCGTTCTAGACTGTCTGCCTCAAAAAGGGGAAAAACGAATTCGGAAGACCTATACGAGCTTGTAAAATGCTAACTTCCTCGAAAAGAGTCAAGATCGATAAGTTAGCAAAATTGAGAATGGCCACCGGCGTGAAAAGTGGCCATTCTCAAAAAAGCAGCAAAGAAGGTGAAAAGCGGCAAAGCCAACATGATGCTGAAAACCACCGAGCTCTCCCACCCCGGTCACCCCAGAGCAGGGCAAACGGGCCAGGACGCGTTAGTCACTCATCATCCAAGAAAAGCATGCAAAATCAATCGCAATTTTATAATTTCTTAAGATTACAACAGCGAAGCCCCCAACAGCCACGACCCGAGCCCCAGCAGCCACGCCGTGCACCCGGCCTCGCCTCCTGCCCTCCTTCCGTCCAGGTGTCACAAGGCTCCACACACCGAGGCGCCCGCCCCGGGAGGTGTTACCTGTCCTTCGCGCCGCCGCCGCCCCCGAGGACCTGAGATTCCTGTTCGATTTCTTCCCCATGCTTTCAGATGTCCGCTCCCCCGGACATGCGCTTCCTTTCTCTCGGTCCCTCGTGGCCAAATGTGACAGAGCGATTGTCGGACCCCGTTAAGAAGCCGCCGTCTCCGCCTCCTTCCCAGCTACGGGGCCCCGAGTCGCCGTTTTCCGCGACTCCCCTCCTCCCGGGTTTCCAATGGGCGCGCTCCGCCGCCCCTTTCCACAGCTCGTCAGAGGCGCGCTGGACGCTCCACGTCGCAGCCCGTCCTTCCTCTCCGCCCTTGTGCCAGCGCGCGCGGAGGGCGGCCCCGAGGCGCCCGCGAAGGACGCGGGCCCGGCGTCCAGGCTCCGAGCCCGCAGGCCCCGCCGCGCTCCTCAGACAAGCGTCGTCCCTTCTTCACAGGGTCAGAGAAAAGAAGGGACCCCGAGACGCCCCGCGGCCTGAGGGAACATGTCGCCTCAGTGACGCGGGCTGGAAACCGGAAGTAAAACCCCGGGGCCTCAGGAAGAGAAGAAGGGAAAAAAAAAAGAGAAAGTGAAAACTGAACTGTGGCGGTCCCGTAGGAGGCAGGAGCCAATCGCTGAGGGGAAGCCGACGCGCAGGCGCGGGCTGCAGCCGGCGTCCACGCGGCACTCACCTCTCCCCTCTGCGCAGGCGCGATGCCGCAGGGCACCCCGCGATTGGAGGACGGAGTAGGCGCGCGCGATGGCCCAGCGTGGGGTGGAGTGGGGCGGGGCCGGGCCTCTCGCGGTGCTGACGCGTCGCCGGATGCGGAAGGCACGCACCGGAAGACGCGGGAGACGCTGCCCTGTCGATTGTGCGCGTGCTGTGGGGTTTTCCTCGCGCTGTGGTCGAGTGTCCGCCTCTCGTGTCTCACTCCGAAGCTGCCGCTTGTTTTGTCTCTCCCAAAAGCGACATTTACTGAATCTCGTCCTTGTAATTTAATAAATGTTAAATCCATGTAGCATTTGTTTGCATGCTAGTTCTCTAATAAAACACCTGTAGAAGTTAATAATCTATGCAGAGAGAGCTAAAGGACCACAGATAGCATTAATTCTACGTGATGGGAATAGAACGATTTATTCATTCAATAGCACCTTTTACTCTTTACTATGGACAGGTGCTGAATTAAGCACTAGGATTACAGTCGTGAACAAGCTAGACAGGGATGCTGCACAAAAATGGAAACTATTCTACAGGTGGATGACTAACAAGCACACCACCACTACCACCACAACAAAAAATAGACTTTCGTTTAACAATACTGTGAAAACAGCTAGAAAAGCTGGAGGATGTGGTTGGAAGCTGAAGGCCAGGGGCAGAAGAGGCCGAGTTATAAGGTCTCACTGAATAAGGGACATCTGAGGTCAAATCTCAACGTAAAAACAGACCAAATCAACCCTTGGAAGATGTGGAGGAAGAGCTTTCCAAGCAGAAGGCAAAGCAAGTGCAAAGGCCCTAGAAGTGAAATTAAGCGTGTTCTTGAGCTAAAGAAGGTTGGCTGTAGAAATATTACAAATATTTAAAAGTACAATCATGCATTGCTTTACAATGGGGATACAGTTTGAGAAATGCGTTGTTAGGCGATTTCATCATGCAAACGTCATAAAGTGTACTTACACAGACCTAGATGGTATAGCCTGCACAACTAGGCTATATGGTTCTAATCTTATGGAAACCATTGTTGTATATGCAGTCAGTTGTTGACGGAAATGTCATTATGTGGCGCACTAAGTAGTCAACTGTACAGGCATGCCTTGGAGATATTGCAGGTTTGGTTCCAGACCACACAAATAAAGCAAATGTCACAATGAAATGAGTCACACAAACTTTTTGGTTTCCCAATGCGTATAAAAGTCACATTTACGCTATACTGTAGTCTATTAAGTGTGCAATAGCATTATGTCTAAAAAAACAATTACATACCTTAATTAAAAAACACATCATTGCTAAAAAATGCTAACCATCATCTGAGCTCTCAGTGAGTCAAAATCTTTTTTGCTGGGGGAGGGTCTTGCCTCAATGTTGATGGAGGCTGACTGATCAGAGTGGTGGTTGCTGAAATTTGGAGTGGCTGTGGCAATTTCTTAAAGTAAGACGAAAATGAAGTCTGCTGCATCAGTTGAGTTGTTCTTTCACGAACGATTCCTCCGTAGCATGCAACGCTGTTTGACAGCATTTTACCTGCAGTAGAACTTCTTTCAAAACTGGGGTCAATCCTCTCAAATCCTGCCACTGCTGTATCAACTATGTTTATGTCATATTCTAAATCTTTTGTTGTCCTTTCAACAATCTTCGCTGCATCTTCACCAAGAGAATATTCTATCTCAAAAAACCACTTTCTTTGCCATTGATAAGAAGCAACTCCTCATCTGTTAAAGTTTTATCACGAGATTGCAGCAATTCAGTCACATCTTCGGGCACCATTTCTAATTCTAGTTCTCTTGTTATTTCCACCACATCTGCAGTTCTTCCTCCACTGAAATCTTGAACCCCTCAAACTCATCCATGAGGGTTGGAATCAACGTCTTCCAAACTCCTGTTAAGTTGATGTTTTCTCTTCCCATGAATGTTCTTAACGGCATCTAGAATGGGTGAATTCTTTCCAGAAGGTTTTCAATTTACTTTGCCCAGATCCATCAAAAGAATTACTATCCAAGGAAGCTATAGCCTTATGAAATGTATTTCTTAAACAATAAGACTTGCAAGCCAAAATTACTCCTTGATCCATGGGCTGCAGAATGAATCTTCTGTTAGCAGGTGTGAAAACAACATTAATCTCATTGTACATCTCTTTCAGAGCTCTTGGGTGACCAGGTGTATTGTCAATGAGCACTAATATTTAGAAAGGAATCTTTATTCTGAGTAGTAGGTATCAACAGTGGGCTTAAAATATTCAGTAAGCCATGTTGTAAATAAATGAACTGTCATCCAGGTGTTGTTGTTCCATTTAGATAGCACAGGCAGAGTAGATTTAGCATAATTCTTAAGGATCCTAGGATTTTTGGAATAGTAAATGAGCATTGGATTCAGCTTAAAGTTGCCAGATGCATTAGCCCCTAATGAAAGTCAGCCTGTCCTTTGAAGCTTTGAAGCCAGGTATTGACTTCTCCTCTCTAGCTATGAAAGTCCTAGATGGCATCTTCTTCCAATAGAAGGTTGTTTCATCTACATTGAAAGTATATTGTTTAGTGTAGCCATCTTCATTAATTATCTTAGCTAGATCTTCTAGATAACTTGCTGCAGCTTCTAGATCAGCACTTGCTGCTTCACTTTGTACTTTTATGTTATGGAGATGGTTTGTTTCTTTAAACTTCATGAACCAACCCCTGCTAGCTTCAAACTTTTCTTCCATAGCTTCCTCCCCTCTCTGAGCCTTCACAGAATTGAAGCAAGTTAGGGCCTTGCTCTGGATTAGCTTTTGGCTTAAGGGAATGTTGTGGCTGGTTTCATCTTCTATCCAGACCACTAAAACTTTCTCCATATCACCAATAAGGCTGTTTCACTTTCTTATCATTGGTGTGTTCACTGCAGTAAGCTCTTTTAATTTCCTTCAAGAACTTTTCCTTTGCATTCACAACTGGGCTAACTGGCACAAGAGGCGTAGCTTTCAGCCTATCTTGATTTTCGACATGCCTTCCTCACTAAGTTTAATCATTTCTAGCTTTTGGCTTTTAGTGAGAGACATGTGACTCTTCCTTTCGCGTGAACACTTGGAGGCCATTGTAGGGTTATTAATTGGTCTAATTTCAATATTGTTGTGTCTCAAGGAAAAGGGAGGCCTGAGGAGAGGGAGGGTGACAGAGAATGGCCAGTCATTGGAGCAGTCAGAACACACACACAACGTTTATCAACTAAATTTGCTGTATTATGTGGGCACAGTTCATGATGCCCCAAAACAGTTACAATGGTAACATCAAAGATCACTGATCACAGATCACCATAACAAATATTATAATGAACAAGTTTGAAATATTGTGAGAATTACCCAAACGTGACACAGAGACATGAAGTGAGCAAATGCTGTTGGAAAAATGGCACCAATAGACTTGCTTGACACGGGTTGCCATAAACTTTTAATTTGTAAAAAACGTAATGTCTACGAAGTGCAATAAAGTGAAGCGCAAGGTATGCTTGTACACAAAACCAGATTGTACAACTCCCTGATTTACCACACAGCAAATATTCATGAAACCACCAATCTGGTCAAGAAATAGAACATTGCCAAAACCCTAGAAGCTCCCTGTTGTGCCAACTCCCAATCAATACCCATCCTCTCTCCCTACCATCAAACCTAACCATTAGTCTACCTTCCATGGCAATCTCTTCCTTACCTTTCTTAATAGATTTGCTGCCTAAACATGCATCCTTAAACTTTATCATTTAGTTTTGCTTGTGGTTTGAACTTTATATAAATTGAATGATTTTGTGCCTGGTTTCTTTGGAGTAACATTGTTTATGAGACTTATGATTTGGTGTGCACTTTTTTTTCATTTTCATTGCTATATAGGTAGACATGAATGTGGCACATTTTCTTTATCCATTGTACTGTTGATAGACATTCAAATTGTTTCCAGTTCTTGGCTATTATGAATAATGCTGCTTGAGCATTACTATTTATGTCTCTTGGTGCACATATGCGTTATTTCTGTTGGGTGTATACCATGCTGGACATGATAATTTGGATTTTTGTTTCAACAAATGTTTATTCTCTTCCTTCTTCCCTGTTGGCCATGTTTACTTCTCTATTTCATTAATATTGTTCTTGGTTATGTGAATTCTTTTGGCTGATAGAATAGTAGTAGACATGGTATAAGCAGGAGTCTTAAATGTGCTCGTGTAGTTTAATTTAGTTCTTGAGCTCAGTTGATGCACATGAAGAGACCGTGTCTCATGTAGCCCTTGCCCCTTCAGCCTGGGCCCTCAGAACATATATGGAGCAGATATGAATCTAAGTCGCAGCCCAAACCCACCTTAGGTTAGTAGAACCTTAGACATCCTGAAGGTTGATGAG